TTCTGGCACAGCAATTACCAACTTGCTTGTTTTTCTCCTACAGAAGTGCAACCTGCAAGCTGAAGCCTCCTAACTTACTGTTGTGGTGTAATTACACAATATGCTGACTTTCAAAGGCAACATATTGTGCAATTAAGCCCCATAGTCTTTAATTACTGTTTGTGGATCCTCCATAGGGCAGCCAATGGATACACAGAGGTCAGCAGTCAAAAGGCTGAGAGCTGCTTTCAGGGATTCCAATGAGACAGTCCCAAGCACCATGACGGACAAAGCTACAAAGACCCTGCTTCCCCACCAAACTAATTACACCCTTCTGTGCCCAGCTGTACTTGTGGCCTTCACGCTGTCCTGCAGCTGCATTAGGCACAATGAGAAACAGCCCTCCATGCTGCTTTATTTCAAACATGTTTCACTGGGATGTATTCCATGTGACAAGCGGTCCCCATTCCACTCCTGATTTTATAGACTTGACTTGTACACCCTTTCCTCAGAGATCTCCCTTCCAAACCAGGGAAGTCAGCCTAAGCAAGATACTTTTCAGAGAAAAGCCATTCAGCCTGACACAACACTACTCAAACCTATTTGTAAAACAGCACAAAATTCCTACTATCATGGTTTTGATTCATTTCTCACTACTTAGTATTTTATCTGCAGTTTTGATCACTGACTGTATTTTCAACCTACTGGGAGTTATGACATTCTCTTCTATGAGAGGTAGTATCAGTGGACTTGTACATTAATTCTGTGCACTCCCTTCCCTATATTTACTGCTTAAAAAAGAAACACTAAAATCCACCAAATCCATTGTATTTTCACAACTTAATCTTGGTTTAACCATCAAACAGTAAATTCTGTACATAACCTGACAACTTCTTTATCCAAAGTAACTAAAGCTAATTTAAAACACCAGTAAAAGACTTGGCATATTCTCCTCATCCATTTCTATCACTGTTGACAGCAGCCACAGACATACTGCACAACTTGCTTACTGGGAATCAGCTTTGGAAGCATTTCATTGATATGTATTGGCAACCCTCAGCAGTGCTCTGATCTAACAATGGATAGCTTCTTGAAGGCTTTGCTGCACTTATGGGTCTTGGGGAAGACTGTCAAAAGTTAGGAACAAGCTAAAGGAAAAGGGGCCAAAGCAGACAGCAAGATGTGGAAAACCAGCAGCAATAAGAAAAAATAAAGACTCAGGACAGAAGCATTTATGGTAAGGTTTGAATTCAGCTCAGTTAGGAGCAGGGGTATTGAAGGGTCCTATATGGTACAAGTTAGACAACAGGCATGGACAGAAAAGCTCTGTGTTGTAGCTACTTGTATTCTCTTATTTTGGTGACTTTTGTATACCCAGACCTTCATTTCAGAAGGGGTTCTTATCAAAACACAGGTATTACTGGTTAGATATAAAGGATCAGTACCTCATTTGACTCCAGCAGACTCCCCTGCATTTCTGTCATCGCCTTTGTCTGATGAAAGTTGCGTGTCCACGCCAAAGAGACAAAAGGAACAAAGGGAGAAAACAAAAGGAAGAAATGAGACTCAACTACATACAGAAACAACAGGTAATAAGGTCACATGAACTTGCTGGATACGGATGTCACTGAGCACGTGGAGCAGCAGAAGGATGAGATCAACAGCTGTGCACGCATCCAGAAAGACTCTAGGATGGACTAGACCACAGGCATGGAGATAAGAGAGATCTCAGACTGATACCAAAAGAGTTTAACACGAGCTGCTGGCAGCTTTAGTAGAGAGCATGCATGCAGGATGATCTCTTGCACCTCAAAACTATCAGGAACAGAACTGGATGGATAAGAGAGTGGGATGTTTAAAACTGCTGTTAATGAGAAAAGGTTCCTGCACAGCCTTGATTCAAGAGTCATTCTCCAGATGTGGAGAAGATGAACTATTCTCTTCCAAACCATGTATCTCAGTCTCCCACTCCAGACTCCTCTAAAGAAGCGATTCGATTAGCAAGAAAGTTTGAATGCACAAGAAAGAGACACAGCAGAGCAGATACATCGAGCAGGAACTCATCTACTATCAAGTTTCTCCACGAGACTTGCATCCAACTTTTGGAGCCAATTTTAAGATCTCTCCACAATATAACTCCTTCCCATTTTTTGCTCAGCTGCACCAGGAGAAGTTAAAAGACTGAAACCACTGAATCAGCTGCAGAGAAGGAAAAGAGAAGACCTGTTTTATGGCATAACCCAATCTCCTGGAAAGAGTTTCGCTACATTAGGGCAGCCAAGACACATGGATTTCATATTAAACCAGCAAGAATCCGAGATCATTTTATACCAAGTATCATTTTCTAGTAACCGTATAGCAAATGTGGAAAAGCGGAAAGATCTCAGGTAGGGCTGAAGTGTTTCACCCCTCGATGAAGAGCACAAAGAGGAGGAGGACAGCGCTTCCACAAGACTAAGGCAGATGAACAGTACCAGATCCTGAGACTCCCTTTTTCCAAAGACTCCCAGAGCATCTTCCCAGTGATTCTCAAGCTACAGGAATGATGGTGGTCATCACAGCAATTCAAATTTACTGGGACACATTGTGCTTTTTCAGTCATAACAGTACAGAACACTGGGGCTGAAACCCCAAACTTACTTATAAACCAAGACATTTCCACATATCAACTGCTTCATAAGTAAGAATCACAGAAGCCTTACATCAACCTTAGTTTCCTAAGTATGGCCAAGAGGACAAACAGAAAAAGAACAGCATGTGATTGGTAGGTTTTGTCCATAAATTCTACACATTCCATCTAAACCTGCTCACAAAAGAGCCACAGCAAAGGCTTTCCCAACGCCTGTATTACAGAGTTGTTCTGCTATAATACTGAGCCAAAAAGCCCCATGCTGCTTCCCACAGGATCAGGGAACAATGAGTAAGTGAAATGGGGAGACATATCTGCTGGACACTCACCAAAAGCAGGCTGAAAGCATCTAGATTTAAAGGCAATATTGTCAATATCTCAATTCCATGCTTGCACAGCAAGAGACTGTTAACATGTTAAGTGTTAGAAATAACCGACTCATTTCTTTAAAGAGAAGTTAACCAACACACCTCTCAAACAGAACAATCTACTAACCATGTCAGTTCTTCCACAGAAGTAATGTGATTAGTTATTCTCACTGGGTTTGTGGGGGTGCTTTTGGAGTTGACTACCAATGTGTTTTCAAATGGAAAATACACCATGGATCCTTCTAGCTTCAAAATTGAGAGTACCACCACGTTCTTATGCTACTATACATGCAGATATGTTAAAAAAGACTGTCTTCAGCTGCATAAATATCAAATATATGTTTTGGAGAGACCAGGGCTGGGGGAACTTGAAATACTACAGGTTTAGCAAACCTCGGTCAAGTACAGAAGTATTTCTGCTTATACTCTTCTAACATATAGCACCATTAAGTCTAACTCCATTTCCCTTTTCTGCACACACCAGAGAAAGCAGTATTTAATGAACTCTTCACTGAACAGCTTAAAGCAAACACGAAGATACACAATCATTTAAAGAACTTACACAGCAAGGCAAGGAAAGAAAATAGCATGACTGTGACAAAGCCAAACTCATTCTGAGTTCAATGAGATTTGAAATGGAGTTTTCACTGGAGAGGACTGAGTAGTGCCTCCCCCTCTGTACTGTGTCCCCAGCTTACAAGAAAAAACTGACAAGGTGTGGAAAAACAGAAAGAGGTATTAGAAGACCAAACAGAACATTACATACTATCCAGTCACTTCAAAGGCAGTCACAACCATCTGCTATACAAAGTTGCAGGCCACCCATATCTTAAGTGGGCCACGGAATATATTACAGTGTTAAAAACAAAGATTAAAGCAGCGCTGCATCAGAAAACAGAACTCTCAGTACTTCCCTCTCTTCTGAAATGAAGGAGTTTTGTCTCTCCTTGCCACTCACACTATCTGGGAACAGAACAACTAAAATGTTGCAATGAGTTGGAGTCTTGAGACACTACAATCCAACAGTCGAACATCACTGAAGCATACAAACACACCGCCTGGATTCTCAAAAGCTTCAAGGAGGGCTGTCTATGTAATATTACAAAATGAGACGATACCTATGTTACAAAGGTAAAATACACAGTTTGAAGTGTCTGAGTCACGACCAGTATTTCTTCAACCTTTCATTGTGTTTACCAAGCACCATAAATCTGTGTACTGCCTAAAGGATGCAAAATACAAGCTTTCTCAAAAAAAAGAAAAGAAAAAGAAAAATGCAGATAAATTTGATTTTGACAACTCCATTCTAAGGTGTTCACCAAGAAGCTCTCTTTACAAAGGTACCTGCTCAGACACAGCAGTATTCCAGCCTTATCCCTAGATTACATCACAGTAAACACCAACCTAAGCGTTGCTTAACTGCTAAAACTGATCACTGTAATAAGCATGTCTACGTAAGAGAAATGTTGTTGCCACGTTACAAACTTCTAGCTACAGGTCAGTGTCTCAAAGAATGAAGTTTCTACTCCAAGATGTGCAAATCAATAGCAAAACCTACACAATCTGGATACTAGCAAGTAGTGAAAATCACTTTACCTCCTCGCTCTTTGACTTGTGAAGAACAAATCCTTTTTTCCATTGCCCATCAGCACCCTCATTTGGTTTACGGATGTTGAACTCAACTTTTGCACGATCCTTACTTTGAATAGCTTTCCACTCATCCAGGGTCATTTCCTTAGGGCCTTCTTCCTTAACTTCTTCAACCTCATTCTCTCTGCAGTAAATTCATGGATTATTGGTCATGACTTAGAACTCACATTCTAGACACAACAAATTCAAAATCAGTTGTTAATTGTCAGCAGATTATAAAAACCTGTCAAGTATTTAGTAGTCAAGAGGTTTATATATGAAAACTCATCTCCTTTAGCCACAGTGCCAAACAAATATCAGAGCCAGACACTTCTAAGCAACTAAATGGTGAGCACAGCAAAATATTAACAATGCCCCATGGTGTCTGTTCTCCACATTAATGACGATTTTCTTCACAAATATGAAAGCCTAACTTCTGCGATGGTCTTGTTTGGAGCTTCTCCCTCCTCTCCCCCCCCCTTTTTTGAGATACCTCTCCCTCAAAGGTTCAAGTTAAGGCAGTGAGAGACAGCTTGTTCTCACCACAGCTTTCAAGCTTGTTAAGTTTTTTAAGAAACAGGATTTAATCAGCTTTGGATATTCTGCTTCCTTTATTGAGCTAAAGACAATTATTAATTTCCTATCTAACGGAAACTGGTTTTACTTTCAGCTAACTGGAAAAACACAAGAGCATACAACTTAGCTACTTGTGCAATACATCACCTCAACATAAATGTTCGGGGTCTCTACCTTCTGCCAAACAGCTATTTTTATGCAAAACAGCTATGCTCCATAACAGTTCATGTTCCAGCTACACAGTCAATCACCTAGTCATTCATTTGTGTGTTTATGCAACTGAATTTCTGATTTATAGAAAACTAGTGCCATGTATGTAAAGCAAAAAGATCAAGAAAGCCTCAACTTAAAAGGTCTTAATTTTGTGCTCACTTTGATATAATAATGTAGAGGTTTTAAATCAAAATTACTCAATTTCTATTATTTTCTATTCTGTCCTACAGAATGGCTTTTGACATGGTATATACTCAGAAGCATTTTTTGTTGTTCAATGCCAACATATTGCCTCTCAGCATTCCTCACTTTCTACTGCAGTAGAACATCCTACAGCTCTGCTGAAGCATTCAGATTAGAGATCCACACCAAAAGAGCCAACCTGAAACTAACCCATGTAAAGATGCTTTTCTATAAAAATAACTGATGGATTACAACAGATGTGTTCTGCTTGAAGCAAAGAAGGGTATTTATTTTCTGCAGATCTGAGGAAGCACCAGCACACCACTACTAATAAAGATCCATGAAATACTGCAGGCATAGCAAATTTAATTTACCCAGCTTTCCAATATATGTAACTTTTTTCAAGGACTAGCTAGCTGCATTTCCTGACCAATGCCCGAACTGTAATTCCTTATAAATTCTCATACTACTTCTGTATACAAGCTGACCTTAACCTTGGACCACCACAACCTTCAAGACTAACACTTAGTCTTTTAGTTAAGCTAAATCCATTTCTCACTCTCTATGCAGTGATTGCACTCTCTTTACCACTAACCAAAGTCATTAATGAGGACACCAAGCTACAGCAAACTGCACATTAGAAATCTTGTGTAAACAAGTCTTTCAAAATCCATCTTCCCTGCCCTTTTCTCTTGAATCCATCGTAAAGCACATCCCTCATTAAAATACAACATTTTACTGTACTATGCTACCATCAAAATTTGTATCACATTTTAACATTGACTCTAAGTATCATCACTGCTCATCCTGCTTCCCTAGTTACTCTATTTCATTCGTCCAGTCACTGGATGTATGAAAAGTCCAAGTGGAATGAGATGCAATTAAGTTAACTTCAAAGAAGCTAACACACAGAAGCTGGAGAATGAAAGAGATATAACCTTTCTTCTACAGGTTGGTCACACTGTCTCAACAGTGGGTTGGAAGAACTGAGCTTACAAAAGTTGCCTTCCACTGGCAGAGGAACATTTTGTCCCTTTTGCTTGGTGGTTCTACCTAATTAGGAGCACAGATGCTTCTGGATTTGGTATTTAGGAGATGCAATCCCCAGACCCTAAGCGTATTAGAACTGATTATTAATAATTAAATCTGAAAGTGACCTAATAGCCTGCATGACACTAATGAACAGTTTTGAGATGATAATTTTTAGACACACAGACTTTAAAGAGACAGTGGTTCAGCCGCACTGTGGATAATTTCCTATCTGCTGAAGAAAACAGAATCTGAGATAGGTAAAGCAGAAGTAGGAATGAGTATCAGAGGTTAAAGGCAAAGTAATGCTGCCTCTGAAGCAATCAAAGAGCATTAGGAGGAGTGGTACTCACTTATTTTCAGAATCAGCAGGCGGATGCTCCTCTCCCTCTGGCGTTTCCTCAGTTGTAGCCGACTGATCCAATTCACTGCAATTACATAATGTTTGGAGTTTGTTTTTTTAAGAGTTCATCCCTCTTTAAAGCTACATAAGGTTAATGACTAAGTTCTACAGCGAACTTGGACAAGCCACTCTTCTTTAAAAAGAACTATTTCTTTAAGGATTGGTGCTCTCTGTGCCTTTCACATTCACCTTCCTAAAGGTTTTCCCCAAAACTTAATAACACTCATTTTGAAAGCCTCCTGCTTTCAAACACCACACGGATTTAGGTATTAAAAATCCTGTTCTCAATGTAATAAGTGTTAAAAAAAAAAAAAAGCATGCATAAGCTGATCAAAATTGTTAAAATTTAATTGTTCTATTTAGTAAAAGAGCTATTAAGAAAACCAGCACAAGACCCTCCATGCCAAACTTCCCCCAAAATCCTAGTTTTAACAGCAAAGCCATCTCTTATGTTACAAGAAATTGTTCCTTTACAACATTCTGCACAAGCTGCTTTAATAGCACAGCAAAAGTTACCAAAATCAAAGGCAAAAAAAGGCAGCTCAATCTTAATATTTTGCAAGCAGTTAGGACTAGGGTTGATTAACATTCTGCTAAGAGTTGTCTGAGCAATGACAGATTACTAACGTTAGCTCGTCTTTGACGGTTCCCCAGTTGTGTGATCCACTGCCACCACGCTTGTCCTCATGCTTTAGGCCGCTGAAATGTGAATGTGAAACAGAACTAACAAAACTGAGTTAACATTATAGTGTCCAGAGACAGAAATTCAAAAGCAATTATTAAAATGTGTATTAATTGTAAAGAATAGCCAAATCAGCAATAGAAAAAGTTAAAGACTTACGATCTATCGCTGCCACTATGTCTGTCAAATTCACGCTTGCCACGAGAGTCAAAACCATCTCCTCTGCCCATGCCACGTCCACGGCCGCGTCCTCGGCCGAGTCCACCACGTCCACGCATAGGTCGGTCAATAATGGGTCTAGCACAGAACAGCCAAATGTGAGTATTTCACCTCCCAAAATTCACAGCATGGCTTTTCAGGTTTTCTTTTTCTCTTCTGGGAGCTTTTATTTCCTTACTTTTCCTTTGGTAATTACTGTTTGTAACTGTGTCCAGGCTCTAATTTCAGTGCCAAATTGTTACATGGAATAAATCGACATATATATAACGCCTGCATTTTAGGATCTGGGAACAAATGCTCAGGATTACTGTTTGTTTGCATCTCCTGGCACTAAACTCCAGAATTTAGCATTTGCAGTGTTACATAACTAGCTGATACAACAATTTCCATTTAACTCCCATTCATGTGACTTACTTCTAAAAGGATTTGATCTTTGGCTACTAACATTTTAATATTTGAACGTTATTTTCAGAACACTTGAATTCTGGATCCCTCATGATACACTTTAAATCTTGCCTTGACATAAAATGGCTTCTCACTTCCAGATCTGAAGCCGCTGAAGCCAAGATGTACACACCTACATGGACAACTTTTATTGCCTTGAAATCAGCTGTATGGACTTCAGCAACAGCATAACAGCAAACAAATCTCATAGTGTAGGCAACAGCTACACTTGGGTTCCCTTCCAGAGCTATCTGCTATAGATGTAGAGATATATGGTGGTTACCAACGATTTAAACCCTATTTTCAGTTACACCCATGGAACTGCTCATGTTAGTTCATTCCAGTCTTGGTCCAAACTCAAGTTTGTATCAAAATCATGGGAAAGTGTTACAGTCCAGATGACACACACTCTTCTTGTAACTGACAAAAATATAATCCAATCCATTTAATTTTGATTTAATCAGCTTCTTGGCTTTTAACTTAACAGCAGAAGGCAGGAGAGCCCCTTCCTATCAAAGCTTTTTGTCATGCAAGGCAGAATTCTTACTTATCCACAGAAAATTCTCCCCCTTCTCCTTTCTCCTCAGCAGGTTTGTCGAAGCGGCGCTCACGAGGAGGTCGTCTCTCCGGTCTCCTGTCAATCGGTTTGCCATCACCCTGCTGCTGCTGCTGCTGCTGCTGCTGATCAGGCCTCCTGCCAATGCGTCTTATCCCTGAAACATGAGGCGAAACACATCAACGGAATGCGGAGCTGCTCCAGGACAGATACCACTCAACACCATAAAAGAGTATTGAAGGTAAAGTGGAATTGAAGTTTTTCTTCTAGCGCTGTGACAAGATAACCTGAGAAGCTGTAAGTCACTGTAGCTATCTGACTCCTTATTCACATTTTTACACAGTATTTCAATCAAACTGTATTTTGTGCAAGTGCACATTCTTACAACATTGTAGGGAACAAAACCTTCAGAGCACACAATACATGAGTAATCAGTGTTAAAACAATAGGGTCAACTTTCAAAGAAGGATCAAGGTAAGCGAGATTTTTATTTCTCCCCAAAAGGTGTTTTTCAGGTAAAATAAGCGGTTTTATTTTTGATGCACAGCAAAACAAAGTCAGCATCACCACACTGGACCCTCTGACAGGCACCCTGCTTCCTCCCACCATGTCCTCCTGGAAACAGGAAACTGTTTTGAACAGCAACCCAAGCCAAGGCAGGTGCCACCTGCGTGCTGATGTGCAGCAGGTACTGCTCCGTGACTAACAGTGTCCTCATCCACACCGATCCTCACAGGCCAGTACAGCTCCTGCCGAAGACCCACCTCCTTGGGCACCTCCTTAAAATAGCTTAAGAATACACGGTGCCACTAAACTGGCCACTGTTCTTCCCTCTGCTTCTATGCCTTCTGAAAGGGGTTTATTTTAAAGGACAACTTCCCATTATCTTCTTCACTACAACATCTGAAAGATCTTAAATACAGTTTTTCACTCATCTCAAAGGCCTTCTTTAGAAAGATCTGGACAAATAATTTCTGCTTTGTTACACTATTTTCTTGCCAAAATGTTTAGGGATAAAACACTAAACAAACAAGGCTGGCTCAAGAATTGTGAATTACCCTTCAATTTTAAACCTGCCAATTCTTAAATATTTTAAAGAAATAGGTCCTGCCTAACAAGCAATGTCATATTTGGGTGGGGCTAAAGAAGTTACAGTTGTAATGATATCCAAGCCAACACACCCAAATGAACAATGTCTTCTTACCTTACAAGCTGTACTTAACATCAAGTTTGCATGACTACACTGCTTGCTAAGTAATCCTCGCTCCCTGAGGAAACCCAAGGGTTAAGCTCTCTAACACTTGCTTTGAAAAGGACTCTCAAACCAAGACAACCATTTCATTTCAAGAGGCAAAGCTCAGTGAGAAGAGGAAGGCAAACAGGCCGGTGTCACATAGGAGGTATGCTGCAGAACTGGAATAAGCCTTTTGAATTTCGAGTTCAACATCCTGCCATGCTCACAAAAACCTGGCTCCTGCTTGAAGCTGAACCACAAATACAAGTTACTTCTTCTTAGTATCACAAAGCTTTGAACTGGTAATTCACCAAATAACCTGCACCTTTACAGAGCATTAGAATAGTTTTAAAGTGAAATACCACCAACACAAGAATCACACCTCATTGATACCATGGCATCAAACACCTTTATGATATTAGAACTACTGCCCCACACAAAACATGGACATGTTCAAACCGGAAAGTGCCTTTGTTTACTAGTGCTCCCTAGACACTGCTGCAAAAGCAGGCCTGACTTTCTCTGTTTCACTGCTATAATAAGCCATGAAATACTTATTTTCATAGTGAAGTAGTTCTTGTTCTTGAAAATGAATGTGAAAATCAGGAGGTAAACATGGACTGCCAGCCCTGCCAAAGCCCCTTGTGCTGGCCCAAGACTGCCCATGCTTCAGGTTTACCTCATGAGGGGCAGCACTAATTCTCAACCGGACTAATGTTTCCTGGCTTGGGACAAATGACTGCATTCCTCGCATGGAAAAGACTCTCAAGTACAAAAGATCCATATGCAGAGAGCATTGTGATACAGTTCCTAACTCCTGCTCCTTTTAGGAACTCACCAAGGGTTTTCAAATAACATTTGGGAGGCCCAGTTTCCAAAACAACTGTTGTATTAAAACTTTTTCTCTCTTGAAAAGCATAAAACACGGTAAAGAATTATCCTGCAACACACACTGCGCTAAATAATGAGGTATTAAGATGCTTTCACGCAGCACAGTGCTCTTCCAAACTGGCCCCGTTTCTGGAAAGACCATTTACAGAGTTCAACTGCAGTGAGCAAGTTATTTCTTCACCCACCCGTCAACTGCTGTCACCACACTTTGACCCATTTCAAGGATTCAAATTTAATCAGTTCTGACCATTCTGACGTGCACTGAAGTTTGTGCAGGATACAACTGCATGTCGACAACATGTGTGAACAAAATCTACCCCTCCTCACGCAGAGCTCTGTCCTACCATGCTCACATCATATTCGTTTATCATATTTGTACTTCAATTTCTGTCTTCAAGAGTATCCCATGTGGGGTGTCCTACAGGTTTACACAAACGCGGCTGAGAACGCACACAACCTGTTATTAAAACACATACGTGATTCCCATCAATACCGCTCACCAGAATAATGACCCAAGCGAATTTTGGGAAGCGCAGGGACTGCCACACATCCTGTCAAAATACTCCAGGCCACCCCAAACAGGTTAAGTTTGGGATGCGTTGCTGGGGTTTTACGTCTCGCCCCACTCTTCCCCCGTGCC